TAACAAAATAACTGATTATTCAATACATGTACATGTACGTCATGCCTCCAGTACCACTTATCGTAGGGTCTTTAGAAACCTCTTCAGCGAATGGATTGTAATCATCAACAGCTGGGACATCACTGGTCTGCTGTTTGACTGAAGGATCCTAAAGGAAAGAGAATAATAGTTTCAAGGAGACTGGGGGAGGTGGCTATAGCTTACAGCAAAAGGGTTGATATTGCCTGGATCAGCAAATGGGTTGTCATCAAAATCCGCCATGATGCAAGACAAGACTAGAGAGGAGCAAGCGAAGAGCTACAGGAGAGAGTGAAAGAGAGAGAGAGAGGAATAACAATAATATCCCTCGAAACTGTGTGAGCTTACAAAGAAAGAAATTAATTAATTAATTAATATAAATAAAATAAAAAAATAAATAATTTTTTTCCAAAAAATGGCTCCGAAATCACCCCAAATTTTTATTACATTTTCTGATACATATTGATGTCCTTATGCTGTGTAGAAAGTTTGAGCTGATTCCGACTTCAATTTTTCAAGTTACGGCCATTTTAAGAAAACGCCAAAAATCTGAAAAATACCCAAGGCTATAGCCCATGGTTTTTTCAAAAAATGGCTCCAAAATCACCCCAATTTTTTATTACATTTTCTGATACATATTGATGTCCTTATGCTGCGTAGAAAGTTTGAGCTGATTCCGACTTCAATTTTTTGAGTTACGGCCATTTTAAGAAAACGCCAAAAATCTGAAAAATACCCAAGGCTGTAGCCCATGGTTTTTTTCCAAAAAATGGCTCCAAAATTACCCCAAATTTTTATTACATTTTCTGATACATATTGATGTCCTTATGCTGTGTAGAAAGTTTGAGCTGATTCCGACTTCATTTTTTCAAGTTACGGCCATTTTAAGAAAACGCCAAAAATCTGAAAAAATAGCCCATGGTTTTTTCAAAAAAAAATGGCTTCAAAATCACCCCAAATTTTTATTACATTTTCTGAAACATATTTATTGATGTACTTATGCTGTGTAGAAAGTTTGAGCAGATTCTGACTTCAATTTCAATATAATGGACACTTTGAAAGTGTCTCTGTTATACAGAGGTGTCCTTTATGTGGAGGTTATTTTATACAGTAAGGAATGTAATTGGTACACTAGGTGCTGTCCGTTAAATGGAGGTGTACGCTATAGAGAGTGTCCATTAAGAGAGACTATACTGTACATGTACTGTACCTTCCAATGACAGCCCCTTCAGCTGTAATTAAACTGATGCATTTACGAGCATCTTGAGAACAAGCATAGATATTAGAGTTACAGGGATAGGAAACTTCCGTTCGCGGGAAATCAAGCTACCTTCCCCATACCGTATTAATTCTTTCTAATTGTCAGTAAATTTCATTTTTACACTGAGCAATGGTGGCTAGTCTCTGATGTGCCAGGTCTTTCTCATCGTCTTTCAGTTTGTTCAGGTCCACTGTATCAACTTGAAAATGAACTTGCAATGGAGCCATGTCTATATTCTTCCTTTATTTTAGTTATCTGATGTTTATTTT